AACGATCCTGCGATACGACGATGCTAGCGATGGCCTCTCCCAGCGACTTCGCTATGTCACGATTACCCAACTCCACGGAAAAATCGACTTCGTTGAATATATTGAAATTTTTCAATGGAATATATTTAAAATTAAGAATTTGTGACTTTTACCATTATTTCTGAGGAGCTTATTTGAAGGTTCGAACGACACAGTGATACTTAATTTGAAAGAGACTCAAATGGAACCGATTTAAGTAAGAAATTTAAAAAATACTTATTTTGGAGCAATTCGGAAATTTGTATTTTTTCGATAGAGGATGATAGGAAGTTAATAATGCCTCTTTCGAATGATCGTAATATGGATCTGATCTCACATAGGCATTGCAGGAAATTAATTCGCGGAGAAAACAGCAAAAGGACCTTAGAATTACTGTACCAGTTTGCAATAACTTCTCCACGAAACCTTAAATATCACTAAAAACTGCATTGAACTTTGCAGTTTCTTAAAGCTGTTGAATTGTATCATAAGAGTATCTGATTTCAAAATTACAACCAATCCGCAGAAGTTGTCATTCAATTAAAAAAAAAAAAAAAAAAAAAACGGTATCAATGTCACTCGAATCCTTACAAACTGATCTGCAATACTTACGAAACGTCAGAATATTTCTTCCACAACGCTTAACCCTTTGAAGCTCACATTTTTCTCAACTTGACAATTTTATTTCTTCTTTTTAATTATTTCCTACACGTTATAGGTACAGCTTACCCATTATTTATAACGCTGTAACTTACATTTTCTGTCATAATAAAAAAAGAAGGCAACAGAAAATTTAAAAAAATAATTACAAAAATTTGCACTTATTCTACGATTAATCCATGAACGTTAAGGGGTTAATCTTAAGGGGTTAATTCTTAAAATTCAAAATTGATACTCTAAATTAGCGAAACACGGAGACGATCGCTAGCCAAGAAGATACTTAGTCGGTTCACCATCTCTCAGCTTGACTCCTCTCGAGTCTCCGCACGAGCATACCTACCAACTCTAGTTACCTCCGAGTCGCTATTATTATTACAGATACTGTTGCTTCTACCGGTGCTGCCTGTTTTCGTTGTTATTCCTTTTGCCTCTGCTCTCCGTGGCGTGTTCGTCCTCTTGTCCGTTGTTGCTGCTGCCGTTGCAGCAAGGTGTTTCGTACGAGGAATCGTTCGCGAGCTCGTAAAGAGCCGCAAAGGAGAGCTCGCACGCGCGATAGTCACGAGTATTGCCCTTGTTAACGCCCCGTTAACTCGAACCTCTGGACAAACTCGTAAAATTTACCGGCTTCGAGCCGGTAAGACTACCACCATGCCGTAGCTGCCGGCTGAATTTTCGCGTGACTTTAAATCCAGCTGGAATTATGTGTTTAGTGCAAACGTCGTTCGAGGCATCGCGATCAGAGAAAACATCTCCTCTTCCTTCCCTTTTTTTTATTTCCTCCTCTTTCATCCTCGTTTAGTGAATCGTTACACGGTGAACGTGAAGGAATTGACGGTAACGCGGTGGAAATTGGCGACGAGGAATCGTCAGAGGATCTTTAGCGATCAGAGGAAACATCTTCTCTTCTTTTCTGTTTCATCCTAGTTTAGCGAATCTTTGCACGACGAACGTGAAGAAATTGACGGAAAGACGGTGAAAATTGTCGACGAAGAATCATCAGAGGAAACATCTTCTCTTCCTTCCTTTCTCCCCTTTTTTATTCCATCTTCCTTCATCCTAGTTTAGCGAATTTTTGCACGGCGAACGTGAAGAAATTGATGATAACACGGTGAAAATCGTCGACGAGGAATCGTCAGAGGATCTTCGGCGATCGGAGAAAACATTTCCTCTTCGTTCTTTTTTCCCCTTTTTTATTCCATCTTCTTTCATCCTAGTTTAGCGAATCTCTGCACGGCGAACGTGAAGAAATTGATGATAACAGGGTGAAAATTGTCGACGAAGAATCATCAGAGGAAACATCTTCTCTTCCTTCCTTTTTTCCCTTTTTCATTCCATCTTCCTTCATCCTAGTTTAGCGAATCTCTACATGGTGAACGTGAAGAAATTGATGATAACACGGCGAAAATCGTCGACGAGGAGTCGTCAGAGGATCTACAGCGATCGGAGAAAACGTTTCCTCTTCGTTCTTTTTTTTATTTCATCCTCTTTCATCCTACTCTAGCGAATCGTTACACGGTGAAAATTGTCGAGGAAGAATCGTTTAACGAGAGTCGTCAAGATCTTTGGCAATCAGAGAAAATATCTTCTCTTCTTTTCTATTTCATCCTGGTTTAGCGAATCGTTACACGGCGAACGTGAAGGAATCGACGTTAACACGGTGAAAATTGTCGACGAAGAATTCAACGATGGGAATTCACCTCGAAGGATATACTCGAGGATCTCGCTGATACGTTCGATTATATTTTCGTCCACGAGACCGTGTACTTACGAGGGCAACGATCAGATTACGACACCAGCTCGGCTCGTAAAACTGACGTTTACATATATGCACTTTGTTGGACCGCGAGATAGTCGCGAACGCGTCGCTAACTCCTGTTAACACCCCGTTAACACGGCTCTCTCTCTCTCTCTCTCTCTCGAACAACGCTCGTAACGTTCGGCGACAGAATATTGCCTTTAGCTCTCTGTTACTTGTCGCACGTCCACGAATTTTCCAATATGGTTATCCCGTGGAGGGAATAAATCGCTCGCAAGTGGATGTTTCGAGAAGAAGCTTATTAACTCGATGATTTAGGATTTCTATATCGAATTATAAATGGGTAAAGTCGTCGTTAGTTACGGCGGTGTTCGAACCAGAGATATATATATATATATATACATGTACTACCTACAGCACGTTATCTTAAACGCCGGTTAAAACTGGCGTGTAAGCTCGTAAAAGTGCTCGTTTACTCGCGATAATCCTGATATAATTGCGATCCTGCACGTGGAGGAGTCGCGTTAAGGAATATTTGCCGGATTATCCGCGCCATCGATTCATTTCTCTCGCTGGAACCATCGTTAACCAGCGTCGCTGCCTTTTCTCTCTCTCTCCTTTTCTTTTTTCTTCCTCCTCCTCCTCTTTATTCTATTTGTTATACGCCAAGCGTACGATATATATACAGGTAAGGCGGATCGTAAAAGCCGCGGAGCTCGCGTGATCGTTACGAATTCGTTATTGCTCTTGTTAACGCCCCTCGCTGGAAGCCTTGGACAAACCTCGTAAAGTTTCAGCGGTGCACCCTGCGTAAACCATCGTCGAAAATGCGCCCGAACCGATCACGCGACGGATAAGGAGACCACGGAACGTTTCGAGTTCGTTTACGAACTGAACGATATTTCTTCCTCCTCTCCTTCTCTATTTCACCTATTTTTCTTCTTTTTTCCGGGTTTTCCTTTTTAACGGTTTGCTTGGTTTTTTGTCTTGTGTTGTTTCAGGGACACCGATAAATCGACTACCTATAATGGCGAAATCAGTGCTGGATCTATACGAGCTGTACAATTTGGTGATCGCGAGAGGAGGGCTTGTCGACGTGATCAACAAGAAGCTCTGGCAGGAAATCATCAAAGGCCTCCACCTGCCATCGAGCATCACTTCCGCCGCGTTCACTCTGCGCACCCAGTAAGTAGATCGTGAAGTTTCCCATCCGGGACCCTATTCCGCTCGTGCCTATTCGCTCGTAATTCGCATACAACGAGTCCCCGTGAGCGGCGAGAAGCTCATCTGAGCGTGAAATCTGCGTCGATGACTAAGGACTTGGGCGGTTTATGTCGTTATGCCTCTACGAGTCTTCACTCTGCTTCCTTAATTTCTGTCCTTCGAATCGATCTGTCGCCTTTTTTTTACGGTTCGTCGGAAAAGTTAGGCGCCGCGATCTTTCTTTCGTCCTTTCTCAAAACTTGATCGGAACAAAGATAAATGCTTCCCGAGAAAACTACTCGTACTAAATACGAATCTTACCTCTGTTCTCCTTAATTTTTGTCCTTTGTGTCGATCTATGTACCTGCCCTTCTATACGGTTCATGAGAATATCGCAGGCGCCACTATCTTCGTCCTTTTCTAAAACTTCGCGAAGAAATCGTTCATGCTACGAATCTCTTAATTTTTAACCTTCACATCGATGCATTTTCTCTTCTATACGGCTCATTAGAATATCATCTCAGTCTTTATTTCACTCTTTTCAAAAAATCAATTCGAGAAAAGAATTCTGAAGAGACGTGAATATCAATTCTATTTCTTCAACTTCTATCCTTCAAATCGATCTATGCATCTTCTCTTTTATACGGTTCGTTAGAAAATCATCTTTGTCTTTCTTTCATCCTTTTCAAGAAATTGAATCGAAAAAAAGAATTGTGAAGAAATATCGCTTCTATTTTCTCAATTTCTACCTTTCGTATCGATCTAAGTATGTAGGTATCTTCTCTTCTACGGTTCATCAGAAAATTGCCAGATCTGCAAAACGTATTTTTTAAAATTTTCATTACGAGCTCAGATAAAAAAGTTGTAAAAACGGCCTTCGCTATTTTCTTCACGATTCCGTCTAATTGCGGTTTTTTCAAAAATTTTTTTACACGTCATCTGGTAAACTAATCTTTCTAACTTCTGAAAAAAACTCAAGTCGTTTGGCCCAATTTTAAAAAAGTTATTCCATGTATATTAGTAAGAAAAATTAATCCTAACTTTCGTTTTAATTTGTAAAACTGAGGATTCCTAAATGTAATTAACCTGTAACAGATTAGCTTTTGCCACTTGATACTGTACTAAAACATCAGATGGCTGACGCTTATATGCATAGTCGGAAAAGAAATCATATGTTAAGGGGTTAATCCATCTTCTCTTCTACGGTTCTTCAAAAAATCACAAGCGCCTTCGTCTTCCTC